ATGACAAGGACATTGCCCCAGAGCTGACAAAAAGAGAAAGCTTTCCCCTAGAGGTGGTGACCTTAATTTGGACTTCAGGCCCCCTAGACTGTGAGAGAATAAATTTCTTTTTGTTAAAGCCATCTACTTGTGGTATTTCTGTTACAGCAGCACTAGATAGCTAAGACACCACACCCCCCTTTCCCTCTCTGCTGTTTTCTGTCTCCCTATGAGAAGACATTTATGCCCAGAAGCTTTTAGATTTATGCTAGAAGATAGCATAACCAATGTCTGAAATCTCCTCTGGCTCTTTGGAGACTACATCAAGGATGAAATAGTTTGCTCTTCACCTTGTTCTACAGGGGATATGAATGGTGGGGTTATTCTGAAGAATTCGGGTCACTGAGCAACCCAGGAAGCATGTCAACCAAGAGTAAAACACTGTACACAGGAGCTCCAGCTCACCCACCCCTCTTGCCAGCACCCTCTTCCTGGCTTTCATTGAAACACTTGCCTCTGTCCCTCAACATTCTTAGACTTTCACTTTCCTCTGAGGTCAGCAATGTGTTTAAAGCACTTGGTTCATTCTGTTCCCATCAGTAAGATTTAGTTTAACGTAAGACAGTCAGAAGGGAAACTCCATTCACTTTTCTTCTGGGAAATCAGCTACGTTTTCCAGCCCCAAATCCCTAACATAACATTTCTGGTAACATTTAAAAGTTCATAATTTAACCGAAACAAAGCCACATCTAAGATAACCAGGCATACCTCTTCACATCAACATATAAAGTTCTCTTTTTTCCCTCTTTTATAAAAGTATTTGGGTTTTCTTTTTAAACTCTTTCATAAGATCTTAAAAACTTATTCAAGCTTTTTTAAAGTTGCAATTTCTTTAAGGTAGGGTAGAGTTAGGAGCCCTGGTGGTGCTATGGTTAAAGCACTCAGCTGCTAACCAAAAGGTTGGCAGTTCCAACATACTAGCCTCTCCACAGGAGAAAGATGTGGCAGTCTGCTTTGGTAAAGATTTCAGTCTTGGAAACCCTATGGGGCAGTTCTACTCTGTCCTATAGGATCGCTATAAGTCAGAATCAACTCCACGGCACTGAATTTGGTTTTTTGGTTGGTTGTTGTTGTTGTTGTTAGGTGCTGTCAAGTCGGTTCCAACTCATAGCGACCCTATGTACAACAGAATGAAACACTGCCCAGTCCTGTGCCATTCTCACAACTGTTGCTATGTTTGAGCCCATTGTTGCGGCCACTGTGTCAATCCAGCTCCTTGAGGGTCTTCTTCTTTTTCACTGACCCTCTATCAAGCATGATGTCCTTCTCCAGTGACTGGTTCCTCCTAATAACATGTCCAAAGTATGTGAGATGAAGTCTTGCCATCCTCGCTTCTAAGGAGTATTCTGGTTGTATTTATTCCAAGACAGATTCATTCGTTCTTCTAGAAGTCCATGGTATATTCAAGATTCCTCACCAACACCATAACTCAAAGGCATCAATTCTTCGGTCTTCCTTATTCATTATCCAGCTTATGCACACATATGAGGCAACTGAAAATACCTCATGACGTGGGTCAGGCACACCTTAGTCCTCAAAGTGACATCTTTGCTGTTTAACATTTGAAAGAGGTCTTTTGCAGCAGATTTGCCCAATGCAGTACATCATTTGATTTCTTGTACTGCTACTTTCATGGGCATTGATTGTGGATCCAAGTAAAATGAAATCCTTGAAAACGTCCATATTTTCTCTATTTATTATGACATTGCTATTGGTCCAGTTGTGAAGATTTTTGTTTTCTTTATGTTGAGGTATAATCCATACTGAAGGCTGTAGTCTTTGATCATCATTAGTAAGTGCTTCAAGTCCTCTTCACTTTCAGCAAGCAAGGTTCTGTCATCTGCATATTGCAGGTTGTTAATGAGTCTTCCTCCAATCTTGATGTCACGTTCTTCTCAATATAGTCCAGTTTTTAGGACTATTTCCTTGTCATACAGATTGAATAAGTATGGTGAAAGTATGCAACCCTGATGCACACCTTTCCTGATTTTAAACTATGCAGTATCCCTTTGTTCTATTTAAATGACTGCCTCTTGGTCTATGTAGAGGTCCCTCACGAGCACAATTAAGTGTTCTGGAATTCCCATTCTTCACAATGTTATCCATAATTTTTTATGATCCACACAGTCAAATGCCTTTGCATAGTCAATAAAACATAAGTAAACTCCTTCTGGTATTTTCTTCTTTCAGCCAAGATCCATCTGACAACAGCAGTGATGTCCCTGGTTCCATGTCCTCTTCTGAATCTGGCTTGAATTTCTGACAGTTCCCTGTTGATGTACTGCTGCAACTGCTTTTGAATTATCTTCAGCAAAATTTTACTTGCGCGTGATATTAATGATATTTTTCAACAATTTCCACATTCTGTTGGATCACCTTTCTTCGCAATGGGCACAAATAATGGATCTCTTCCAGTCAGTTGACCGGGTAGCTGTCTTCCAAATTTCTTGGCATAGACGAGTGAGCACCTCCAGTGCTGCATCCATTTGTTGAAACATCTCAATTGGTATTCCGTCAATTCCTG